CCCCCTCAAGCATAAAACTAAAAAAAAAGATAAATGAAATAAAATGAAAACGTATCGTACAATGAATTTTTATTGAATACATTCACGCTACATTTGCTACAGGTTGAGAGACACAGTAAAAAAGTTCGTTTTAGGAAAATGCGAAAACAAAGTGGAACCCCCTTTTGAAAAATCGGCCTGAATCCGCCACTGGCTGACAGCGTGTTAAATATTCTTTTGAATTTGTAGAAATGTGAGCAATGCAAACATTGATATGGATAGTCTCATTTGTCAAATTTAAAAGAATAATTACCTTGCTATCGCGGCCAAAGTGGAACAGAAAAGGGGAATTGATTCAGAATATAGAAGCCGAGGGAAAAAGCTTACATTGTTATTGCGCAATTGTTGATGTGATTTATTAAGAAGTGCCATATATTCCTTGATATATATTGTACATTCACACATTAGTGAAATTGCAAATATAATGTTTATTATTATATACTAAGTCATCTAATTGCTGTACTTCCCATGTACCCTTTCGACCTCAATCATTTTGAACATTTTGATTGTTCAATATTACCCATAGTTCATTATGACGTCAAATCAAAACATTCTATTGTTCAAACGCTAAGGATTATGGTCGTGAGAGGGGATCAGAATGTCTGCATATAAAATAAAATGTACACGAGGAATCGTTTATGCATGATATATATCAAAACACGATGGGTCATGATTCATTCAAGTTCTASTTAAGAGACAATATAAATGGGCGAAAGTTTCAMTGTTTTTTGAGCATCAATAGGCCATTTGCATGATGGCGTAACATTACTACAACTACCAGAAAGCCTTGCGCATTTTCTTTGTTATTCAGATTTTTAATCCCCTTAGCGATTAGTAAAACAATTGGCACTAATTTCATTACAAAAGAAAGTGGGCAAAGCATTCTGGTAGTTGTAGTAAATGACGCCATAATGCAAATCGCCTATTTCAGATGTAAACATCATAGTGACATATCACTGGAAAAAATCGCGCGCTTTAAAGGTTGTAAATTTGATGTAAATATGATRTAAGTGTCCAAAWTTCTGGAAATTTAATGGAAATCATTTACATCAAATTTACAGAATTTTGGACACTTGCATCATATTTACATCAAATTTACAACCTTTAAAGCGCGCGATTTTTTTCCAGTGATATATATAAATACATTTAAGTGTATATGTCTGTAATTTGACAAGGGAATCAGCAGCCGAAGTCTTTAAAGATGGACAGACAGACATATAAACATTTTGGACTTAGAGCGATCAATCTCTGGCCTGTTTATTTCAGCTGTTTTCACTCTGTATCTTCTGTTGTTGCGCTAACATCAGCTTCTTCAGAACCATTTTGTTCTGAGCATTCATCATCGTCGCTACAGAGTGTTGGTTGTTGGACTAAAGACTCTTTTTGTAGCATTCTGTCTATGTCTTTTCGTCGCTTTAAGGAGGGCGTCTCATCAAAGCCATGAGTTGTTGCTAATGCAATGGCTTCTTCGATTATTTCTTTCGCTTCATGGTAAGAAGAGCAACGAAATGCTTTGTCGGAATTTGTTAGTAGGTTTTGCAATTGTACACTTACCGGCACTTTTTTGCCACAGCTATTTTCGGTTTCGAATATTTGTAAGCATTTCTTCGCCTCTTCAAGGTGCTCGTCACTGATTCTTCTCTTACGACCCACGTTTGTAGTACAATTCAGGAATAACATAGCTTTTTTTAGCTTGGCAAAATGACCCTTTTTGACGAAGTCCCATTTTCGTTCCTTGCTGATTTCATCACATAGCTCAGCGCATTTGTCAAGACAGACTCGGATCTCTTCAGCATTAGAACCTTGCTTGTCAAACTCTAGGAGAAAGCTGGCTTTTTCGTAGTAAACTGTCGCCTCGTCGTACAAAAAGGGAGTGCCCCGAAGCCTACTTTGGGCTTCGGCTAGACATTCGTTTACTCTTCCGTGAAAGTTTCCTTTCTGGTGGCGATAMGCTGATGCAAGGTAACAGTAGGCCCTGCCTTCGCACAACTGCGTGATTGATGGATCCAAACATCTCTGTGCCTTAATCTTCTTTAATGCCTGGCATAAAATGGTTGCCGCTTCAACAATGTTAGATTCAGACGAGTGATAGCACATTTGTTGAGCCTGTTCTAATGAAAGAAGGATATTCCACGTTGTATCGCTGTCGTCCTGTGAACGAAACTCGTTTAATTTGTCGTAAAACAAATCCCATTCTCCGTTATCTCTCAAGGGATGAAGAACGGCCAAAACCTCTTCGAAAAATCTCTTGTAAAGTATTATTGACTCGTCGCTGGGTGGGGATTGTCGGGAGATAGCTTCCGCTTTTAGTTTATGTTTATCAACCAGTCGTTTTTTCTTATGTTTATGTCTTTTCTTTACAGCAGGAGGTAAACTTTTTGGTTCTCTGACATTTTTCGAAATTGTCTTGTCTTCCTTATGGCCATGGAAGACTAAATTCAACTCTGCTTCGTTTCCAATTTGTACAGTGCTATCTTCTACAATGGATTTTACTTTAATCTGCAGTCCAGAATCATCTCCCGTTATCACCTGCACACAATCTGTTCGAACTGTGGTATTCTGTGGAATTTCATTTCCGCTTTCGCCAAGATCTAATATTTCTATTTTCGGAAGGCTGTCGGTCTTTCCTCGATCGGTGCTTTCAATGACGAAGACTTTGTTRTTGTCGCCAACTTGTATGTGTTTAGAGTCAATTTCGCAAACAATGTTTCGTCCTCCATCGGGGTTTCTAGGCAATATAACCTTCGTAACCTTAGTCGAGGAGGATTCCATTGTAGTTATTGTAGTTCTTGTTCTTATTATTCGAGGATTTTCTTGTCTTCAAGTCGAATCTTTCTTCGGTGTCGAAAGAATATTCGACTGAAACCAAGTGGAGAGAGCGTCAATCTCGAATTAAAACGCCGTATCCTCAAATTCATCGCTTAGAAAGAGCAAACAGCACTTTAAATACACAGCTGAAGCAGTGAAATCAGCGAAAACACTTCAAATTTGGATAAAAACAAAGCGAACGCAGGAACTCTCTATGGCTTATGTTTATGAGTGGCCGGGGATTCCCCAATTTTAGAATAGTCACATGACGGGATTAGTAAGATAGACGTTAATAAACATGATCGTGATAATCATGTGCAAAGAATAAATCAATCTGAAACAAATACATAATCCGACCCGGTAATCCGACAATTAAAAAATTATTATCCAAGGATTCCAAAAATCTATTGTTTTTAAAACTCGAGTGGTTCTATCATGCGTGAAACATTGAATTTAGAGACTTTATTTACGTGTACATAGTAGCATTAAACCATTTTAAAAACATAATGTATGTGGCTTGAATATAGTACTTATTGTTTCAAAATTTTTAATTGTTTTTTTTTCATGCTTTGAATGGGCTACCTGTTGTCTAACCACCACAGGGAGTCCAATTTTAGCACATGCGTACATAATTTTACCCAGACTTCCTTAGGTTTGGCGGGGTTGTGTTCTCTCCCGTGCAGGGGTTTGATGAAGCATGATGTTAGTATCGTAGTGAAGASAGCGTGTTTTACAAGATTTTGAGCTCAAAAAAGGAACATGAAAGGTTGAACTGACTTAAGTTTTCCACACGAAGTATTTATATGGCTGTTTAAAGGTAAGAGAATTTGGATATGATCTTTTTCTGTCGTTTGCACTTTGTTTTGAAGCTCATTGCTTTCGAAGTAAGAGCTGGATTGACATGACATAGTCTTAACTTTTTGCAAKAGAATCGTCTTAAAGCTGCATTATATTTCTGGAAGGGATCATTAAATCATGTTGTGGTCAACTATTTTGAGACAGCATCTACAAAGATGGTGTTATTTTGATTCTGAGTAAGTTTTTTAGTAAGTTAACTTTTTGACTGGCGAGTTTAGTACCGATTGGTATAATGGGACTACGTGTAGATCAATCCATTTCCTTTAAGACTCTCCTTTTTTAACTCGAAGATTGCTTAAAGCGGTCGAAGCCTTATAGGAGGGAGATAAATGATGATGTGTGCGTTGACTAGTTAATAAGTCCCTAATTTTTCGCTAAACTTATGGCCGATGGCGGACCACTCGTAACGTGGTATAGAGGCGATTTCGTATGAACTGATGCTGACGTGATACGACTACGGTACGGCTACGATACGGATTCATTCGATCCTATCTTTAATTAATCGAAAGAAATAATAATTGCAATGAAAATGGGCTAATTTTCCAAAAAATATTTAAGRGGAATTGTCAAGCAATCAGTCAAAAAAACGTCAAGTTGTGCATGAAAATTTCTGACTGAACAAGTCACGCAAAAGTGCGAATACCCGAAAGTTTTACAAACTAAAATCTTTCAGACAATGAATTGCAAATATATTCTCACTACTTAAAAGTGCTGAAATCAATACAAATAAAACGAGAGGGGCCAACGGGTTCCTGGGAGAAATATATCTGTTCTTATGTCCCAGCCAGCTTTAAATCACAACCGGCTCCCAGCAAAAAATTAAGGGAAAAAAGACTATCCAGGGAAGAAATACTTCCTAAGAATTTTTGCCAGGAAAAAAAAAATTTCCTGCCTAAAAATTTTTTTTTTCGAAACAGTACATAAAAAATTTCCTGGCCAAAAAAGAATTTAAAAGAATTTTTGCCAGGAAAATAAAAATTTCCTACCTAAAAATTGTTTTTTTCGAAACAGTATATAAAAAATTTTCTGGCCAAAAAAGAATTTAAAAGAATTTTTGCCAGGAAAATAAAAATTTCCTACCTACAAATTGTTTTTTTCGAAACAGTATATAAAAAATTTTCTGGCCAAAAAAGAATTTAAAAGAATTTTTGCCAGGAAAATAAAAATTTCCTACCTACAAATTGTTTTTTTCGAAACAGTATATAAAAAATTTTCTGGCCAAAAAAGAATTTAAAAGAATTTTTGCCATGAAAATAAAAATTTCCTACCTAAAAATTGTTTTTTATAAGAATTTCTGCCAGAAAATATAAATATATATTTTTTCGCCAGGAGAATAAAAACATTTTTTTAACAACTTGGAAACAAAGCTCTTCAGCAGGACTTCCCAATACAACAGATAGCTTTCAAAAAATCCTCTGGATAACTAGGCTCAGTCTCCGGCTGGGCGCATGGGGTTCGAAACGTGTCGCGCATGTCCGTGACGTTTTTGTGTAATTAGCATATTATGAATAACAGAAGTGAATTTTTCAGTGAATGGAAGTGAAATATCTGACAACAGCCGTTTTAAAAGGTTTTGCTACAAGACGGGAAATTATGTGAAATGAAAACTTTGCGAAGTGGCGATATAATGTAATAGTTAGCATTTAAAAAAGAGATAGGAATGGAAATTACCACAAGTAAAACATGTGTAGGGTTAAATAATCCAAATGGATATGTTATCTGCCAGAAAGACGAGCAAAATACACTAGTGGCGCTGTTTGAAAAATAAGAGATTTGCCCGAGCCAGTGGGAAGAATAACAAGGACATCTTTTCCAAGAACAATCTCTTTAAAGGAACAGTCAACACCGAAATTTTGTTAATTCTCAATGAAAATATACCTATCTAGAAACAAATTTATGATATTTTGAATAGCTGCCGGCCTTTTGTTTACCTGAAATAAAMATCTTAAAGTCGCAAACCCATATGTATGAAGGGCGCCATATTGAAATTATGGTAATTTCCTGTGACGTCGCATAGTCAATTCCTCAAGGGAAACTCATCCCTTGTAGAAACAGACATATGCAAAACCTATGTGAATGCTATGTACTGAAGCTATGTAAAATATATGTTGTTGCTATTAAAAAGCTATGTACATGCATTTATGCAAATACTATGTATTTTGTATATTAAATGCTATGTATGTCCTAGTCCAGAGCTATGTTTTTGCTAGTCAAGTGGAACACTTTACATAGTATTTAAAAGCTATGTATTATATGTATTTCTTGTAAAACCAGCGCCTTGTCAGATGGTAAAAGTGTTCAATAAAATTAGCTTTTAAATAGCCTTTCCATATATAATACATAGATTTTACACAGCTTTTGATTCAATAAAATATTGCATCAAAAACGTAATACCTTTCACATACAAATCAAATAGTTTTTGAATATGAATTTAATAGTGTTTGAATAACATCAAAATATAGGGCCAGTCATAACATATGTAATGAATAAGGTTTGAATAGGATATACATAGGGTATAATAGAGTGTGGATAGTCTTATCGATAGGATTGACATAGAAATCAGATATGAAATGAATAAGGTTTGAACAGGATATACATAGGGTCATAGAGTATGGATAGTCTTATAGATAGGATTGACATAGAAATCACATATGAAATGAATAAGGTTTGAATTGGATCTACATAGGGTATACATAGCGTATAAATAGTCTTATAGATAGGATTGACATAGAAATCACATATGAAATGAATAAGGTTTGAATTGGATCTACATAGGGTATAGATAGCGTATAGATAGTCTTATAAGATAGGATTGACATAGAAATCACATATGAAATGAATAAGGTTTGAATTGGATCTACATAGGGTATACATAGCGTATAGATAGTCTTATAGATAGAATTGACATACAATATACATAGAAACAGCATGCGTTATTAATAGTCCTTAAATAGGGTTTTAATGGTCTTATAAATAGGATTTACATACAATATCCATAGTAATAGCATATCTATTAAATACCCTTGAAAATACCATTTGAATAGGATATACATAGGGTTTATATTATATATAGCATATGAATTTAACATAAAATACATAATATTAATAGCTAATTATATACAGTACATATTAGCATAGGATGCAAATATGATTGTAACAAGAAAAAATTCTTAGGGTATAAATCTGAAATGTTTTTGAATAGATGAAACAAGCATAATGTAAACAAGTTTAGAAAAAAATATCCTATAAAGATAGGTATTTATGTATGATAACCATAAAAATAATAGGGAATATGCATCACTTAAGGCAAACTAGAGCACATTCATTTTAAAAGTCACGTGTCATATTGTCTATAAGATATTAAAATCAAACTTGAGGATCTTGATCTTCATTTATATTTCTGTCAATATTTTCTGCAGCTATTTGTTGGGCAACTCGTCTCTGTTCCTTAAAGAAATAATATATATTTTAGTTAATCGTATGGGGAAGTAGCTGATCCCATTAAAGAGTGGTCAATACACAAAAAGTGTAGAGCTAGTTATATATATGATATCAAAGAGGCACGATTTTGCTGTAACTCCGAGTTTCGTGCTACGCACTCATCAGACAGTATTTATTAAATACTGTCTGATGAGTGCGTAGCACGAAACTCGGAGTTACAGCAAAATCTTGCCTCTTTGATAAATACTGTCTGATGAGTGCGTAGCACGAAACTCAGAGTTACAGCAAAATCTTGCCTCTTAGATATCATATATATATTTTAGTTATAAATTACTGAGGGTCAGATTTACAGGTAATATGTTGTTTAATTAATGATACTGATAGGTCATTTAAAAGTCTGTTAAAAACTTTTTTGGTAATTGCATTAATGTATCATTATTGTTATGCCAGTTACCTTTTTTCGAGCTTGGCAAATTATGCTGTTGCATTTCATACGCAACGCTTGTTTGATAGAGCTTCTTGATGGAGTAGGCGGGGTTTTTTCTCCCTCTTTTGGCTCTTTTGGTGGCTTTGGCTCTTTTGTAAGTTTTGCCACCATGGCAAAATCTGAAAATTGATAATAAATTATCTTTTGAGTTACAATTACAATTTCATTGTGCAACTATAAATCACTTCATTGTTGGCAATTGAGACTTTTGGTCATTGGTCATGATTTATTTGAGACTGCACAAAAATTGACATTCTTGGTAATTAAGTCAGTAGAGGGAATGGCGGATCGGATATGGAGACTAATACCATATGTGTCTTTAATCAAAAATGCTGCTTTTCCATATTTTTTTCTGATGCATGCTATGGTCAATTATTAATCATTTCAAATTCTGATTTCACCTAGCATAGCTGCAGCTCTTATTTTGATCCTGACTTCTTTATAGTCAATATTGGTCTCCATGTTTTAAATAATGCTCACGACGTACCAGTAATGGCATTTATGATGTCTGCATCCAATTCATGCAGTCTTCTTCCCTTCAGTTCATCTTTGGGATAAAATATCCCGAAGAGGGCCAAAGCAAGGCTTGTTCTACTCGACGAGTTTTTAATTGCTGCTTTTACTTTGATGGGGCAGCACCATACCCCATTTGCTATCTCATCAAGCTTAAACAGGAGATGAACACGCAAATATTAATAAAAATATACAGTTAAGATATCCTTTTGATTGTTTGGACATTTGCATCATATTCTTACTCAGATGTGTACACATATTAGCTATACAACCATGCAATTACTTACTTTGTTTGCCATGCCTACTGTTCTAGGCAGCTTGCCACACTGCACGTCTTGTACATGGTCGTTTGTGCTTGTATTGCTAGCAATGTTTATATTACTAGCACTATTGTTTGAAATGACATCTTGTAGTTTCCCTGTACAACAAGTGACAATTAAAAAAGAAATATATTTTTCATTTTACAAGATTCAGGTTTTTTCCAGATTTTTTGTTGCGTTTCTCAAACTGTATGCATGACAGTTATCTATAAAATAGTTGTAATTACCTATAATAATTAATCAAGCTTTAAGTTATAGTAACCTATGGGTGTGTCGGATTAACAGGTTGCGTCTCGTGCGTACTTTTTTGTTCTCACTACATTTTGATGTCATCTGTGTATCTATTAGAGTACACACGCACGGAAAAATGAGATCTATTTGTTAAATTTAGCATGCACTGTTTTCACTATAAAAACCTTGATTTTTCAAAATATTTACCAGTTTTATATGAACATTCTAGGATGCATTTATATAGAGATCATTTATATCGGATATCCCTTGGAACCAAAGCTTTTGCAACAGTAATTTAAACTAACATGGCAAAGAAATTCGGCATACGATATCACTGACGCTGCAAGGAATTTTTTAACTTAAACAGATTGCTTGTTGTATTGATGTATAAATTTCAACACAATAATCCATCCAATTGAAACGGAACAATTTCTGAAAAAACGGCTTTTGTGAAAACAGCACAAAGGCAAGATAGTATGTACTCAAAAATTATTTGCATAATGGTTTTTATATTGTATTTCTATATTTACTATTTCTAAACGAAATACTTACTTATCTCTTCGTTTGCCGTTTCTAACTGAGTTCTTGTTTCAGAAATGTCTTCTTTTAACTTCCTCTTTTCTTCCCTGCAAGTCAGACTTATGCAAGGAGGAGGCTGATGAGATTTAGGCTGTTTGCCACCAAACCTTGGGTGTTCGTGACTTTGAGTAGGTGTTTGAGTGACTGTTTTGGCAGGCGCCGTATCTAAGATTTTCAGCAGCAGATCTTCATCGTGTCTGGCAATAATATCAGCTTCTTTATCTTTTTTTTCATTTGTCTTTTTAGGCGGTGGTTTTTTCTTTGCAGCAGTTTTCTTTCCTATCAGATTATCAAAACACCAACGTAATATAATATAAGTATAAAGATTTTTTCAAAGGCACTGAAACCCAAACCCATTATCATATCAGGTTATTATTTAAAATTGCTTGGGCATCTAAGATCTATGTATATTTAGTAATATTTGAAAAAGGTTTGATTGCACTGATGCGCATTTATGGTTAATCATAAATCGCTGGGACTGTTGCCTTAATTTGTAGTTTTTAATTTGTTACTCACGTTGAGGAGGATCAGCTACAGGAACGTCAAGAATGTCATCATCATCAAAATCGCTTTCTTCTTCGCTCTCATATGTCTTCCGTTTTCGTTTTCTTTTCACTGCTGCTTCTTCATCTTCCTGAACATGCATTTCTTGCACCGAGTTTGGTGTAGGAGCCACTTCATTTTTAAGTTTCGTGTCCGCATCCTTCTTGTTGTCTGTTATTTATATATTGAAACGAAATTAAATCGGTTGGATTCATCCAGATCCACCACATAATTATCATATAACAGTTTATGCTCATCTATAATCATGACTTTATCATTGTTTATTGTTAAGAACTGTAACTGCAAATATATAAAATGTTTTCTTGTTCAAGAGACACTGGCTCCGTAGCAGTAAATTAGCAGGTCATTTTTATTTGAAAGCATATAATTGAGCGGACTAAAATAGCTACGATCGCACTCTGAATTTATTGTTTCCTTTGTTTTTTAAAATCAAATATTAGCGAAACTCGAGTTCTTTATCCTTGGACATCAATATTACGAAAATAACTCAAACCACTAAAACCACGTGTCCAGTGCACGCATGCGCGCGCATAATTAATTTCCCGCCTAAATACATAACTATGTAGTCCGTTAGTGTTCTGGGCGGAACAACTAATTCAAAATTTATCCACTGTAATGTCTGTTTAAATTGAATTTTCCTAATAGAACTGACCGTAAAATAGATGCATGTCTTAGGTGTTAATACGAAGCCTTTCAGCTTGTTACATTTACTTTAGTCAATACATACCGTGAAGCGAGCGAACAACTCCTCCCCAAATGCTCTTCTTGTGAAGCATATTCACGGTCGCACCTTCCTCCATTTTCCCTCCGTTCATCACCGTTAGCTTTGCGGTTGACAAAACCTCAACCTCTTCTCTAACAAGTTGAATCCCATTCTGTGTTTTCCAAAAAACTAAAGCGTACATCTAGAGACAAAGATAAATTAATCGAGACCGTTGCACTGAGGACCACTGAGTTTGCTACACAAATAATATTGTGCGTAGAGTAATAGAGATTCTTTTGCCTTCATCGCAAGAGAGAAAGCCGATAGGAAGCTGGATGAAAGAATTGCCCAAAAAGGCACTGTAGAACAGTGAAAAACCGAATAAATAAACCGTATAAGAATAGCTAGAACACTATATGCAAGCCACGTGGTTGAGGTCGTAAAAAACTACTTATCTAGATCTATTGTCTAAAGGACACTTGAGAAATGACTCTTTTCTCTATCAATCCGAGAAAATACTACCGAGTTGTAAAAGATAATACATTAGTTTATCTAGTTTATGCAAACCACACTCAATGTTAAGATGTGGCATGTACCACCACATATGTAGGAGTTATAAATTGCACTAGCAATGACTGTGGCCTTTATCTGACAATTGGACTTCAAATTTGTAAATCTCGTAAACATACCTTTATGAAGATCGTAGATTTCAAAAGACTCTCACTAGACAGAAAGATCGCTATAATGCACAATAGAGTGTTACAGTGTAGCAGTGTAGCAGTGCCTAGCTCCAAATCAGAGTTCAACTGGTAGGATGAGTCATTATTCTTATCACTTTTGTTATTAAAGTAGACGTCAATCATACTTATAAGTTACAAAGGGTGCCAATAAGTAGTTGTTTACCTACATACCATAACCACTATGAAACCAGTCAGAAAATATAAACGTTTGTTAAGTGCTGTGCCATGTTTTTTTAAACAGTTCCAGACTACAATTAAAAAAAAAAGAAAAAAAAAAAGAAAACGTACAGTACCGGTCTCGAGTAAAGTACCATCCACTCGCTCTATACTCGAGAGTGCGATTATCGAGTGCCCATCGTTACTCGCGAGTCATGCATAACAAATTATTCATAAAAGCGAGTGTAATCGAGTGGCTTCCACTCGAAAGACTTTCGAGTGTCGAGTGTAGTTTTACAAACAATTTCTGTTGAAGTGAACGATTAATGAAAAGTCAAAATTTAAATTCTAATMGGTCGCTTTTATATTAGCGAATGATCGGCAAGATCGTACGTCGGCAAGATGTCAATTCAATGTCATATAMAATGTCACGCCGTCTCGTCATACTGTCTCGTCATTCCGCTGTCTAGGCAGTGTTAAAGCACTTTGGGAAGCTTATTTGTTCTGTTTTCTTCCACAATTCAGTATTTTTTGTTATTATCAAAGCATATTTTATCAATTTCTGCAATATATCGTTATGTTCTTCAAACTCCGTAACAACCTTTACCTTTTCTAAAATGAAAGCATGAGAAACCGCTTTTATCTCTTACTGTTATCATGATCGTAGCTGATTAAAATATTTAGTTGTTTTGGCGACTAGCCAAAAGAGAACAAATTTGTTCGAACACTTATCCTGACAAAATTCTGATTAAACCTACTTCAGCTTTATGAAGGATAGTATAAACCTTAGTAGCTTAAAGAATCTTGTAAAAACAGTACGATTCGGTTGTTTTAATTTTTGATAGAATAATTTAAAGTAGATGAAACAGGTTCAAAAAGCCGTGTTGACCTGAGTGGCATGGGAAAGGCGAGATTAGTCTCGAAACACGCTTGGGAATATCTTCGTGTAGATTCATAGTTTGCTGGTGTTTAGTATGGTTTCTTATTCGTTCACTTTCGCTGTAACAGGTAATCATTAAAGGCCAGTTCATTTTTGCTTACAAGTGAAGCATATTAATAACCAATTCCGTAATTTAAGTTCGAAGCGCTCCACTCGAAACACTCTAGAGTCTCGAGTAAAGAGTGAAAGCGAGTGGCATTGTTTTCGCTGCCTCATTAACTGTCATTGTTTCACTCTTTACTCGAAACTCGCGGTCCGTATCGAGTTCGAGTACTCGAGAATGGATGGTACTTTACTCGAGACCGGTACTGTAAAGAGGTGAAATTAACGACAACGGGATAGTGTATCATAGGCAACTTGATAGCATTCTTAACTTGACAGTTCCGGTATGTCCGGTTAGTAACTTTGGAATTTTATTTAGGTTAAAACTCATGTCTACTACAAAACTAGAATTCCTGAAATAAAAAAAAATTGCAATCTTCATTTGTGGTTGAAAGTTTTTTCTTGAGCTGTTTATGACAACTTAGAGCTTTACATTAGAGATGCAAATATCTGGACCGTGCATCGATGTGTCAATCAAAATTGACAACCTGATTATTTAAAATAGACTTCCGATTGATTTATATCATTTGCCGGCTCACTTGCTTTCAGTCCTTTTTGATATTGCTCTGATATTATGACTGAGGTGTACTGCTTCAATATTATAACATAATTTGATGAGTGTACATTTTGCACTGGGTTTTTTTTACATCTTAAATATGGGACTCCTACTGTTTTGGCGGCAAAACTCTTTGTATCTCCCGCGCGAACACACGTGGTTTTCGCTTGATAAATACAACATCGAATTGTGCTACAACCAAGAGTTTTGATAAGTAATGTCCAAACGAAAATGGTTAAAAACGTGGACATACGACTCTTTGGTGGCTGTGCCCAGGACAACAAAATGGCGCAGGCAAAAATCCTCAAAAGATGTCCAAGAGAGCCATTTAAAAGCTTCATCAACTGACGAGGTTGAATGTTTATTTGAGTCTGTGATAGAAGATCGTGAAAGTATCTCGCCTACCACCTCTCCACTGAAGAAGTTGCGTTTAATAGACGATTCTACGGAGCATGAAAAAGATTCAAAATCTTCAAAATCTTCTTCTAATGATATAAATATTGGCCATGATGATGTCAACTATGAAAACGATAACAATGGTAAGTCAGTAATTCACATAGCCTGACAACTACGTGACCATTCAAATGGTGATTTCATAAAGCTATTTATTAATCACAAGACAAGATTCCTCTACATTTAGATGTTGTTAGTTCTAAGCAATAAAGAACGTGAGTGTATTGGTGAAATAAAGCACGCGGAGATGTTGGGAGAACGCGAAAAATTACGAGTGGGAATGTTGGGAGAACGCGAAAACATGCCTAAGCGTAGCGAGTTATTTTGGCATTTTCGACGAGTGTTCTAACGACATCCCCAAGTGCTTTATTTCACAGATAAACGCATAACAACCCGTTTTGTATTGCTTTTATGACATAGAAAGTTGTGTCTACACCGTGTATACTTGCGAGCATGCATTAATACAAGCCGCGGCGAAATAAATCACGCTCTTGGACCAATCACATGGTTTGTACTATATTTCGGTATCATTGGTAGGAGAACACAAATAATTTTAAACAAGGCAATACAAAATACAGATAAACTGAAATTTTGACAATTGTTTTTTGAAATGAAACCCCCCAAAATATAAATATAAAATGAAATCAAAATGAAAACTGAATTATCATATTTAAATGAAAACGAATGAAATTATTTCTGTTGTTAAATGCATTTTTTAATCTATAGACGGCACAGCTACAGAAGATAACAGCGATGCAGCTCACATTCAAGAAGACGACACCATCTTATATCCCGACTTTGAGATTGATAATCTAACACCAGACATTTGGGATGAAATCACAGATTCAGAAGCTGATTTGACTGATTTCTCATCGGTTTTTAATCCACTTCAAAGCAGGACAGAGTCTGACATTTCTAACTATCACGAAAGCCCTTTGATAGATCATTTATTTATTGATAATGAGATTCCAGGCATGGAGCATTTTAAAGAAATACAAGAAGAAGCCAAAGACAGCAAAGCTCCTAAAGATGAATCCCCCCTTTATCAGAACTCGCCAATCACTATTGGAGAAAGTTGTTTACTAATTATGGCTTTTGCTGTACGCCATAAGCTTTCTGGGATTGCACTAGAAGATCTATTGGAAGTGTTACATCTACACTGTCCAAAACCAAATCATTGCATCACTGATCTCAAACATTTTCAGCTGTTTTTTCAAGCCTTGAAACACCCTGTTGTAAAACACTACTACTGTTCAAATCAGAAGTGCAAGGTGTATTCTGGTACATCCCAGCCAGAAAGTGGAGCTACCTGTGAGGTTTGCAGAACCCCCCTCGACATCTCATCCTACTTCATTGAAATACCAATCATGGAGCAAATAAAAACATTGCTATCGCGTAAGTTATCTTTTAATCTAATATTTAACTATTAATTAAGAAATGTCTATTTTTTACATAAATAGCTTTAACCGTTTTTCTACCTAAGTCATTTCATTTGCGGGACAATTGTCACAAGTATGTGCGTCCTGATTAGCATGCTCTTTCCTGTATTCCTGTATTCTAAATAAATTATTGGAAATAATTCATTTTTAGATAGTGTTCATCTTTGAAAAAATGCATTTCTTTACAAATATATAGTGACATGCAGTATTAGTCATTGTGACTATAATATGTTTTTTTTAGGGCCAGACATGATTGAAAAACTACAGTACCGTTTCAATCGTTTAAAGAAAGACCCAAATGCAATTGAAGACGTATATGATGGAGATCTTTACAAGCGATTTGCTGCTCCTGGAGGGTTTTTGAATAATCGCCATAATATATCGTTCTTGGGCAACACGGATGGTGTTGCCCTGATAAAATCTACTGGTTATGGAGTCTGGCCTGTGTACCTTGTGATTAACGAAATTCCACCTTATGAAAGGTCTAGATCTAAGCTTTTCAAGACTTGCTTCTCTTGAAATTGTTATATTTTTTAACATGAACTTGATAATAATTGCAAATATATAATTACATTTAATCTTTAAAAATAGTCATAATTTTTACAACATGCATCATATATTGATATTTCTGTGTTGTTTTTGTGTGTGTGTGTTTTTTTTGTATTCTTGTAGATTCAGACGCAGCAATCGCATATTTGCAGGCTTATGGTTTGGGAAAGGAAAACCTCATTTCCCTACATTTCTTAGGCCTTTTTCAATTTCCATTCGAGAGCTTTATCACAAAGGTACTTATATTAACATATGTACATTATATGTAAACTATATTTTACATCAAAAAATTAAGTTTGTGATGATACATTAGTTGGTCCGGTACGTCTTGATCTTATCCCTCTATATCTCTAGTTTTAAAGAACTAGATTTCCTCTGTAAGAGAACAGAGAACTTACTTTATTTTGTCAAATATTCGTCCATTGCAGGTGTTGGTCTGACAAATAATATCACAATTAAAGGTCTCTTCCTTGAAATGTCGGTTGATGCTCCAGCTCGTTGCATGTGGCAGGCCATAAAACAATTTAATGGTTACAATGGCTGTGGGAAATGTAAGGAGCCAGGAGAACAACTTGATCTTGGAGCAGGTAAAGGCAATAGAAGAAGAAGTTGTCACGTTTATCCATTCAACAAAGACTTTGCAGCTACAACTGGTCATGTTGGTTTAAGAAGTCATGAAGAAGTGAAAAGACAGGCCTGTCAAGCTCTAAGGGAGAGAAGAAGTGGGAAAAAGAAGGTAGTACTGATAGCAATGTCATATATATTCTTCAACTAGAAGTTATACACCAATTCAATATTGTCGAAGAGTGTGGGTCAAACCATACGAAACAGGTCTGTAGCAATAAATCAATGGATCATATTCAAATCCTTTAGCTTAGTATTTTATGTAAAGATAGAAGTTATAGATATTTAATTGTAACTCAGATATTTTAGAGCGATATATAACATGCGTATGGACATTCACTTTCAGGTTTCGGTTGAAGGAGTCGTTGGTCTTTCTTGGGGATTTGGTCTTCCACATTATGATGTTATACTTGGCTCAGTGGTTGACTACATGCATTGCATTTGTGAAGGCGTGGTTGATCAACTTTTATCACAGTGGCTTGATAAGGGGAATTCAAAGAAATCGTTTTATCTGGGTTCTAAGGTTCAGGAAATCAGCAGGGAATTGACTGGCATAACTCCAACATGTGAAATTACACGCACTCCACGAAGTTTGGAGGATATTAAGGACTGGAAAGGTAAAAGTGGTAAAATGTTAACCGTCAATCCCCTGCAGACTGCTGCATGTAGTCCTAGACCTTGCAGGAATTGATTAGTGTAATGATTGTATAAATATAATTATTGAATCAATGGTTATATTCAGTGCACTATAATTATTGTAACAAGAATGTTGCAGTTGTATTTTTCATATTTGAAAGATATTAATGTAGAATGTACCTAAACTGATCTGAACAATAATATAATATTCTGAATTTCAGCATCAGAGAAAAGGTCTTTTCTACTGTATTATTCTGTGCCTTTGTTGAGAGAGTACCTGCCTGCAGACCATTTGTCCTTACTGATGCTGTTGACTGGTGGCATATTTAGATTACTGAAGCAGTCAATTTCACAAGAAGAAGTAGAAGAAGCTCATAAGTTTCTTAAGCTATTTACAGCACAATCTCCTGTATTATATGGTAATTGATTAGGCCAGTTCTATTAATAAAAATTACTCTAATGTTGATGAATACTGAGTTGAAATATTTATGAAACTCTTTCAGATAAACGGTTTCAAACCTTTAATGTACATCAGCTTTTGCATCTGTCAGATGAAGTAAAAAACCTTGGCCCTTTATGGTCAAATTCCTGCTTTCCATTTGAAGATTATAATGGTGATCTGAGGGAGCTGTTCAATGGCACAAAGAACATTGATGGACAGGTTAACAACTGATTATCATTATCATAATCATCAATAGTCATCATTTGTAATCATTATATTATTATTCAGATTATAACAGGAGTCTCGATAATTCAGAAGCTGCCAGAGATTGCAAGAAAAACTACAACCTGTCCAGAAGTTCGAGCTTTCTATGAACATCTTACAAGCAAACGTAACAACATTCGGTAATTGCATTCACAATTTTAGTTCTCAAGTGAAGAATATAATAAGATGCCATGTGATGTTGTGATATATGCGTAGTCAAATACCTATAGGATCATGTAAACAATGCATTAGTTTACAGGATGCATGTGTTTATACCCTTCTTTATCAAGTCAATATAAATTCTGAAATATGCTATTACATGCATTAGTACAATCTATACTATTCCTTCAGGTCTGTGAGAGAGAGTATTGCCCCTGGTGCAAATATTGTTGGATCATTAGAGCGGATTTGGGGCAACTCCAAACTTCTAACTGAAGAACAACTTGCAGCACTGCCCAGAAATTATGGTAAAATGTGGGCTTTCAAGCGGTGTCTTTTAAATGGTGTGATGCTCCACAGCAAGAGTTATAAAAGAGTAACTGCCAGAAATGATTACACTGTTGAATTTGAATACCGAAATCAACTTTGCTATGGTTTGATTCAAATTTATGTTAAAGTTGAAGATAAGTGCCATCGAGCTTTATGCCATGAACAACGTTGCGACTGTGAATTGCCCACTTATTACTATGCCATAGTAGATCTTTTAGAGAAAGACAATGAACAGCTGCCCAAGTACAAAGAGATGACACTTGTCAACCACATTGTTAAAGTAAAGGAAACAAACAGGTTTAGTATTTATATGCAATTCTAATTCTTTAGGCAATCAGCAGCAGCAGCAGATTGCCATAGCCCCTTTCTTTTATTCCATCTCCATTAGCTAAACAATTAATGTTCACTCCTCGACAATGTTGTTGATGTTTTTTTTATTTTCGTTTTAGAGTATTGGCCATTCCAGTTCTTAACATTGGGAATAAATTCATCAAAGTGAATGTTTCTTCAGGAAGTTATATATCTTTCTTGCCAAACCCTTATGAAAAAGATTAATTATAGCTCCTACCTTGTGTACCATAATTGAAAGTATATAAATAATTATTGAAAATGCAAATGTATTCTTGACCAATTTATATGAAATATGTGAGGTGGCTGATATATTCAGACCAATTATTTTATAATGGTAATCTTTATCAAAATAATAAGATTATGAATATAACTAATTGATAGACTATTTAAATTATATGTAGTCAATGACATGCTGAATGCATATTGATTGCATAGCAAATACACAGAACTATGCAAAATATATTTAACACGCTCAGTTAGTTGATACGCTATGTAAACTATATGTAGTCAATGACATACTGAATGCATATTGATTGCATAGCAAATACACAGAACTATGCAAAATATATTTAACATGCTCAGTTAGTTGATACGCTATGTAAACTATATGTAGTCAATGACATACTGAATGCATATTGATTGCATAGCAAATACACAGAACTATGCAAAATATATTTAACATGCTCAGTTAGTTGATACGCTATGTAAACTATATGTAGTCAATGACATACTGAATGCATATTGATTGCATAGCAAATACACAGAACTATGCAAAATATATTTAACATGCTCAGTTAGTTGATACGCTATGTAAACTATATGTAGTCAATGACATACTGAATGCATATTGGTTGCATAGCAAATACACAGAACTATGCAAAATATATGCATGGCAGTAATGATATGTAAATGCTATGTTATATTCTTAAATAGTCAATACATAGAGTCACACTAACATACATAGTAATTGCATAGCTATTCAAAAGCTGTGTTAATATTTTACATAGGTTTCACATATGTATGTAAAGACTATTAGGCCTTTACATAGCTTTGCCATATATTCTAACTATATCTCACATAGCCATAAACTATGTAGTTAGACTGAATACATAGTAAAAGCATAGGCAGTAACAAGCAGTACATAGCTAAAACATAGTGTTGCATAGTAAAAATGTAGTATTGACATAGGTTTTGCATATGTCTGGTTCTACAAGGGATGTGCTGACCTCTGCGAAGTTTGACATGTAGTTCATTTTAATCCTTTTTTATCGTCTTTTGGTTCGAAATGCCTAACTGTTGTGTACCTGGGTGCACAAACTATTCATCTAAGACCACAGATATTAGCTATCACAAAATCCCAATGGATCCAACTCTAAAGAAAGCATGGATCGCTCGAATTAGAAGAGACAACTTACCGCCAGCAAAGTATTGTTATGTATGTAGCGTTCATTTTGAGCCGGAGTGTTTTGAAGTTAATTTCATGGAACAGTTGCTTGGACAAAAGAGCAAAAGAAAGTTAAAGGCTGGTTCAATACCTAGTATATTTGACTTTTCGCCATCTTCAGCTCCGGGAAAAAGGCCGGGAAGATCTTCGTCTGAGAACCGCGCGAAGAGGAAACGTAACACAGAGGTATGTTATTTACAGCTTTTAGCTCAAGTTGTTTCCTGATTTTGTAATTTAG